ACCTTGGTCCACGTACCTCGGGAGCAGAACAGCGAGGCCGATGCCCTCGCAAACCTGGGATCATCTGTTGAAGAAGATGACCTGCTCCCTAGGGCTGTTATTTAGCTATCCAAATTAGTGATCGAGGAAGGTCATGCCGAGATTAATTTTACTTGCCTAATACGGTACTGGAGAAATAAATATATTGGCTATCTGAAAGATGGAAAATTACCGACAGATCCAAAGGAATTAAGGGACCTGCGAACCAAAGTAGCCCGGTTCTCGCTCGACGAAAACGGGACTCTGTACAAAAGAACTTTTGATGGCCCACTAGCAGTATGCCTGGGGCCAGGAGAAACAGATTATGTACTCCAAGAGATTCACAAGGGTACTTGCGAAAATCACTCCGGCGCCGATTCCTTAGTCCGAAAGGTGATCAGGGCAGGCTACTACTGGGACAACATGGAAAAAGACACTAAGGAATTCATCCGAAAGTGCGACAAATGCCAGAGATTTGCCCCTATGATTCACCAACCTGGAGAACAACTACATTCGGTCTTATCGCCATGACCATTCATGAAATGGGGAATGGACATCGTCGGACCTCTACTAACGGCACCAGGTAAAGTTAAATTCTTTTATTTATGACTGACTATTTCTCAAAATGGGTGGAAGTGCAGGCCTTCGAAAAGATTAGATAAAAAGAAGTCATTGACTTCATCTGGGATCACATTATATGCCGATTTGGGATTCCTTCCGAGATAACATGCGACAATGGGAGGCAGTTCATCAGAAGTAAAGTAACACAGTTCCTCGAGGATCACAAAATCAAGAGAATCTTGTCGACGCCATACCATCCATGTGCAAATGGCCAGGCTGAATCCACAAACAAAACCATCATCCAAAACATAAAAAAGAAGTTAGAAAGCTCTAAGGGGAGAGAAATATTTCCCGAAGTGCTATGGGCATACCGAACAACTTCAAAGTCGAGCATAGGGGAAACACCTTTCTCTCTAGTGTATGGCACTGATGCTCTAATACCAGTGGAGGTCGGGGAGCCAAGCGCCAGATTCTGACACACCACTAAGAGCTCGAACAACGAAGCCATGACTACAACCCTCAAACTATTGGATGAAAAGCGAAAAGCCTCGCTCGTCCGAATGGCCGCCCAAAATCAAATGATCGAAAGGTATTATAACAGGAGAACAAACCTCCGACATCTCGGAGTCGGGGACTTGGTCCTAAGGAAAGTCACCCTCAACACCCCAAACCCTAATGAAGGAAAGCTAGGCAAAAATTGGGAAGAACCATACCGCATCTTCGGAGTAATCAACAAAGGGTCCTACAAGCTCGACACCATGGAAGGTGAGCAACTTCCAAGCAATTGGAACATATCAATGATGAAACGATACTACTGCTAAGGTGTCCGATGGAAGATTCTGAAGCACCCTCCAACTCGAAGGCCTTAGGTTTCAAAAGCATATGTTGCACTCTTTTCCTTCGATTGGGTTTTTATCCTAAAAAAGGTTTTACTGGCAAGGTTTTTAACGAGGAAACATCCATATGCTACCTAAGGAAGACTCAACAAGTACTCAAGGCTTCTTTTGAAATCAACCTCGAATACTGGGGGGAATCCCTCAGAAGGTCACCTACTCAAAGAAGCCAAAATACCCCAAATGGGGTCTCGATAGGAAAATAATGTACCGGGCCAAACGGTCGAGTGAACTATATCTGTATAGAACAACTGAGCCCTTAACAGCAAAGGCGTGTATACTTGTACTAAGTAATCAAATAATAGTTCCCAAAAGCATTTTGTGTTTCAAGAAAGCTCGATATTTTTTGCAAAAAAACGGCCCCAAAGCCAAAAAACGTCCCGAATACTCGGGGACTGGCGTCGACAACTCGAAACAATGCGACCCCCGGGTCGGAGCTCCTAAATCGTAAGCCCTCAATAAGGCAACATCAAGATCACAAAACAACTCCAGAGCCAAAAACGTCCCGAACACTCGGGGACTAACGTAAAAAACTCAAGGCCACATGACCTCCGAGTTGGGAACTCCGAAATCGTAAGCCCTCAATGAGGCAATACTAAGTTTACAAGTAATGGCTCCCGAGTCGAGAAATCCTCAATGACTCAGGGACTGCTGTCAATCACCATCTCCATCAATTTATCAAAACCCGAGGCCGTAAGACCACATATGGGCTGTCTCGATCTCGTAAGACCTATATAAGGCAATAACAATATCTGTAAGACCTCAAGCAAGGCATGAACCACACTTGTACCAAGTGACAATATCTGTAAGACCTCAATCAAGGCATGAACCATACTTGTACCAAGTATCCAAAACTGTAAGACATCAAAGGCATGTAAAACTTGTAAGAACTTACAAAAGGCATAAACCCGATCTCAAAGTTAAGGCTATATATCGAACTTGTAAGACCCCTAAAAAGGCATACCCTCGATATAGACGCCGAAACTACTTTACTCGGGACTGAAAGGCTCCGGTCAAACACAAATGACTACGGTCACAAGGTTGTACCAGCCAAACTAACACGATTCCTAGACGCCCGACCGTCGCTATAAAATCACAGGACTTCAATTACTTCGAATACACTTCGAAAAGAACCGGTTAAACAGGCTACCCTTAACATAGGCAAAAAAGTTTCGACCATGTCAGCTCCTAAATACAGGCTTCGAGATACTCAGCCACCGAGCCAAACCTCCCGAGGTGCTCAATCATCGCCATATAACGACTCACAATCGAGGTTTTATTTAAACCGTCGAAGAGTCAGGCAAACATTATTTCAAAAAATCCTTATCGAGGGACAAATAAAGCCTATATTAGAGTTCGCATCAACCCAAGGCGTAAGAGCCATTGTCGCCAACCCACATACAAAAGGTTGCATCAACCTAAAGCATAAGAGCCATTGTCTCCAGCACATACAAAAGGTCATACCGACCCAATGTGTAAGAGCCTAAGGGCCAACTTTAAATTCAAAAACTATAGGGTCGAATGAGCTCGAGTTGAAACCCGATTTGGAGATTGAACACAAAATAGTTAACTAAATATGCCTAAGAGCAAAAGCGTAAGAGCCACTGTCGCCAGCACTAAAATCGAAGGTCGTACCGACCAAACGTGTAAGAGTCACTGTCGCCAGTACTAAAATCGAAGGTCGTACTGACCAAATGTGTGAGATACACTATCGCCAGCACTAAAATCGAAGGTTGCAATGACCCAACGTATAAAAGCCAGGTCTAACCTGAGAACACTCAAGGACTAACTTTCCACCGTTACAAGTCGCTCAGCAATAGCAAAAACCCGAGGGTCTAACCCAAGGTCTAAGATCTCGGATTGATTATCAAAAATAGCACACATTATTCTCAAAAGGAAAAGGAGAAAAGAAGTGATAAAAAACAAAAGGCCATTTATACATATCGCCCGCAGAGTTAAGTTTACAAAGGCTTTTTGAAAACCCATTACAAGGAAGGATCCAAATAGAATCCTAATCTATCGTCGAGCCTACATCTTTGACGGATCCGCCGGAGGTTGTGCCCCAATGGTTCCGGCTACAGTCCTGGGACCTTTAACGACCACTTCCCCTCGAGGGATACCGCCTCCATTCTCATCATCTTCTAAACCACTACCTGGCACATCTCCAAAAGCAAACATGGCAACAACTTTCTCCTCTAGGGTCTTCACCCTCTCACGCTCGGCAGACAAATTGATACCCCCATATGTATATCCTCGAGAGTCTGCCTCCGAGATTCTAACCGAGCATGCTCCACGACTCGAGTCAATTTTAGTTCGGCCTCCTCATGCTCTATCCCATTATGAGCGTTTATTACAACTTCATCCTCTTTGTGCAAAGATATAAGTGCCTCAGCTTTGGTTTTGATCCCGGATAGTGCAATAACTAACTCAGAATAGAGACCTCTATATTCATCACTATCCGTCTCGCATCATAGAGCTGGTGCTCGACTAGAGCTATCTTTTCCTGGAGGTTATCCCTCTCAAAGGTTATTTCTTTTAGGTGCCGTTTGAGTTCGAGGACTTCGAAGTCTCTGGCTCAAAGCTCCTCCCTCAGCAAGACACCTTCCTTCTCAAACTGCACAAATCAGATCAAAGATGCCAAAACGCTAGGATCTGTCAAACATTTAGACAATAGCAAATGGAAACTAGGTAACCTGTTCACCAAGATGAGCCTTCTCACGCTCGTGACGGGTCACCTCAACCTGAAACTGGGCGAAAGTTTGATTATAAAGCGCCCTGGCATGAAGCCATGAAAAAGACAAGTTAGAAAGACAAAGATCAGGACAACATGAAGGATTTGCAAAAACTACCTGCTCACAAATCATGTTCATCTTGCTGAAGATGAGTGAAGCATCGAGCTCAGGAATTCCCTCGGGAGTGGCTAAAGGCCTTTCAAACGCATTTTCATCTCCGATAGGCACCCCCACATCAGAAGTTTCTTCATTCGGGGCATCTTGTGTTCCCTTATGAGGTAAGGTCATTCCTTGAGGAGAATCACTCACGATAATAACACCAGCAGGGTCAATCAGGCTACAAAACCGGGTTCCTCAGAACCACCTACCGAATGCGTCCCAGCTCGAGGGATATTTTGGCCATTGGACGGTTCGGGGACGTCACCCGAAACTCCCTCAGTGGCCTCTCTAGCTCGAAGTTGGACCTCGACGACATCAAGCTCTGGCTCGGGAGCCACTATCTCCACGGCATAAGGGTCGAGCAGGTTTTCCTCTCCATCGGATGCTATCAAGAAATCATTTTCCCCCTCACCTTCAACTCAGGGACTTCCCGCTACTTCTGGAGTTAGAGCTGCCGGGTCGGCCTTAGCTTTTTCCGCCTTGATCTTCTTGGATTCCGAAGGTTCATTCAATGGTTCCCTTTGTCTCTTCTTCCCTTCATCGGGTCCCGAGGTACCCTCTTCACCTAGCGATGTTCCCTTCATCAAGGGGACCTCCCCCAAACCTACATGAATGCAAGAGGTAAGCATATGGAGTAATGACGCTATCAGTAGCAATTCTGATTGAAAGGAATGATTGCAGCAGGAGTAAAGGCTCACCGTGGTCCTTGGATTCCCATCGAGCTTGGGACAGATCACGCCACACTCGCTTGGCATATGGGCAAATCGAGTCCAGCCGGCTGACCCAGCCAGAGAGGTCCGTGACCGCGCACGGGGTAAAATGCTACGGCTTCATCAGCAGAGAAAATTAAGCGCATGGAAAGATGTACCTAAAAAGAAGCAAGGAAATGCTAGATAACGTATCTACTTACGTTCCATGTTTCATTTTTAGGGGAACAACATCCTTTCCACCGGGATCAGGTCCGAAGTCTTTACTCGGACAAAGTGGCTCATCCACCCTCCGTTCCTAACTTCTTCAATGCAAGCAAAGAGGACCCTCAAAACTTGGCAGTGGAGCTTAATCAGACCCCCATGGAAGAGACAAGGGCTTTACATCCTGATCAGGTGATCGAGGGTGAAAGGCATCTCCTCATCATGTTCACATAGTACCTGATCATGTCGACAATGCGCCAGAATGAAGGGTGAATTTGGATGAGGGTCACTTGATATCGTTGGCAGAAGTCGAGAATCACGGGGTCTATCGGAGGCAAGGATGGCCCCACCGGCCCAAGGGTAAATAGGTAAGTATACACACTGAGAAAATCGGCTTTGTATGTTGTTATATCCTCCTCCCAAGAAGGGATCTCCACAAGCACCGCATCCCCCTTACGGTAATCATTCCTCACCCTTTCGACATATGTTATTAAGCTAATATACTGAGACACAGGCTCACGACGCCCCGGCTTCGAATAAGGTCTCTCGACCTTGAAATCGGTTCAGCACGAGGAGGCACTACCGCTTTTCCTTTAGATGGAAGTGAAGAAGAGGGGGTCACGTTCTCCTAAGAAGAAGAGGCGGAAGTTTCGCCATTCCTAAAAGATTTCAGAGGAGAAAGGGAAGTTGCGTTTCGAAGAAAGAACAAAAGTAAAGGTAGAAGGAACCTTTTTGGGGGCTTGGCGGTGCAGTAAGTTATAAAGAACGAGAGGGGAAGTATTTATAGAGGCCCCACACGCGCGTTGAAGAAGGCCAAGAGACAGCCAACTGCTGTAATAAATGCGAAGGCTTTCAAAAGCTGTGTGTACGCCATCTTTTATCACCTTCTGACTGTCGTCGCTACGAAAGTACCGGAGAGGTAGATATTCAAGATCATTTCTTATCACTTTCACTCTAAGAAACGCGTGGACTATCTATATATGGTAAAATTGGAGGGTCCAATTTTCCATCATTATGATGCCTCGCAAGCATATTTCACAGGTTCGAGACTATGGTCGAGGTTCACCCTCGAGGGTTATTGACGCTCGAACTCGAGGCAGCGCAAACCAACAACTATGATGAAAAGTGAGGAGTTCCCAAGGAGCATAACTGGAGCTGACAAAGTCTAGTAAGCTAAGTTCAGACCCGAAACATGACATCAACTAGCTGTCCCATCTCCATATCTTTGTAATAAACGTATTCTGTACTATGTTGATATTTCCCCCCATATATAAAGGGGATCTTTGTCATTTTGTAGTCACCCGTTTCTCAATACGAAACACTCAAGAACATTCTCTCTGCTCTCTAACACATTCTTCCGACCTCTTTACTTGCATTTATTGTTCATATTTATTGTTCTTCATTTATTACTTATTATTAGCCATAAAGAGCCATCATTGATTTATTTATAACCATTATGCTCCATCGACTACCCCTGGAGGGATATTAGACTCGACCCCGAGGCCCCGAATAAGCAAGCTTGAGGCTCCGATCGACCTCCATTCGGTTCGGTTAATGTCTTGTCTTAAGCTCATATCTTGACTCCAAGTACCTCACTTAGCATCTATTGCCCTAACAACTAGCATAAAAATAGATCACGTATTTTTAAAACCACAAAATCAAATTTAATTATTATTACCATTTTTGCGGTAAACAAATACTATAGTGGTAGACTTGATAATGATTCTCTGTCTAAGTGTGAAATTTGTCCATTAGCACGACAAACTAGAGTTCTTTTTCCAACTAGCACTAGCAGAAGTTTACATAGTTTTGATTTGATCCATATGGATGTGTGGGGACCTTATAAGATTGCTACTTACGATGGTATGAAATATTTTCTTACATTAGTTGATGACTTTACCAGATGGACTTGGGTGTTTCTTATGAGACTAAAACTTTGATGTTACTTTCTTGCTCAAAAACTTTATTGCTATGATTAAAACATAGTTTGGGAAGCAAATTAAAGTTTTTAGATCAGACATTGTGAGTGAGTTTTTTAACAATGCATGTAGTGATTTATTTCAAATGCATGTGATTGTCCATCAAAGCTCCTGTCCATGTACTCCCAACAGAATGGAGTTGTGGAAAGGAGACACAGACATATACTTGAAACTGCACGAACAATCAGATTTCAAGGGCACTTACCTATCAGATACCGGGGACATTGCATTGATGCTGCTGTATATATTATCAATAGAATTCCTTCTTCTGTTTTAGCAAACAAGTCACCATATGAATTGCTTCTGAGTAAGACACCTTCTTTAACATATTTGAAGGTTATTGGATGTCTATGTTTTGCTACTAATCTGACAGGCCATGATAAATTTGCACCTAGAGCTGTGAGGTTAGTCTTCCTAGGATATGTTGCACATCAGAAAGGTTAGACTTTTGGATCTGGAGAATAAAGTGTTTTTTATAAGTAGAGATGTAGTGTTCTATGGGGATATATTTCCTTTTCATATAGCAGAAGACTCATCAGAGTCATTATTCTTGGACATAACTCCAGTGCCAAGGCAAGATTTGGATGAAGAAGAAAATACGGTAGTTAGTTCTGTTGATGTAACCAATGTGCCATGCTCATCTAATATAACTCCTAATGCAAACAATGTGCCATGCTCATCTAATATAACTCTTGCTGCAACCAATGTGCCATGCTCACCTACTGTGGCTCCTGCTCTTTTAGATGAACAAAACATTTCATATCCTGTTAAGCATAACAATGTGGAGAGTCTTGGAGATTCTTCTGCTTTGCTTAATGCTGAGGGAATAAGGAAGCCAGCTAGAGTATCTAAGACCCCCATATGGCTTAAGGATTATGTCAGAAATGACAAGAGAAGTACTGCAAGCTGCTGCAGATACCCTATCTCAGAAGTAATTAGATATGAAGCGATTTACTTAAAATACCAAAGCTATTTGGCTAATTTTTTATCTGAGGTGGAACCTACATCATATTTAGAAGCAGTAAAAGGCAAACGATAGATAGAGGCAATGCATGCAGAAATCAAGGCACTAGAGGATAACAAGACTTGGGAATTAGTATATTTGCCACAAGAACAGAAGGCAATAGGATGCAAATGGGTATACAAGATCAAATATAAAGCATCAAGAGAAATTGAAAGATTCAAAGCTCGTTTGGTAGCTAAAGGGTATAATCAGAGAGAAGGTTTGGGCTATCAAAAAACATTTTCACCTGTGGTGAAAATGGTTACTGTTAGAAGTGTGATATCTATTGCAACATCGAGGCAATGGTCTATTCATCAAAGGGATGTATACAATGCTTTTTTGCAAGGGGATCTATCTGTGGAGGTGTATATGAAAATACCTCAAGGCTTAAATGGATCAAAAGATAAATTCAAAGTTTGCAAACTGCTTAAGTCTCTCTATGGACTTAAGCAGGCATCCAGACAATGGAACCTCAAGCTAACATCAGCCTTATTGGATGCTGGTTTTCAGCAGAGTCACTTGGATTATTCCCTATTCATTAAAAGAGCAGCAGATCACATAGTGGTTGTTCTAGTCTCTTATCACTGGTGATAGTCCTGTTATGATCAAACAAACAAAGGATGATTTGCAAGCCTCATTTAAGATCAAGGACCTAGGGGAACTCAAATACTTCCTAGGCATAGAGTTTGCAAGAAACAATGATGGTATACTGATGCACCAACGCAAATATGCCCTAGAACTCATAGCTGAGTTGGGGTTCTCAGGTTCCAAGCCTGTATCCTGTCCTATAGATACCAATGTGAAGCTTATAACTAATGAATTTGACACTCATACAGGTTCATCTGATGACACATTACTGAGTCATCCAGGACCATATAAGAGACTCTTAGGAAAGCTTCTTTACTTAACTGTCACAAGGCCAGTTATTTCTTTTGCTGTTCAGAGTTTAAGCCAATTCATGCATAGTCCTAAAGTCTCTCGTATGGAAGCTGCACTCAAGGTGGTCAGGTATATCAAGAACAATCTTGGATTGGGAGTTCTCTTGTCTGCTTATTGTTTTGAATCATTATCAGCATTTTGTGATGCAGACCGGGTTGCATGTCCTAACACACGCAAGTTAGTTATAAGTTACTTTGTTAATTTTGGTTCTTCCTTGATATCTTAGAAGTCTAAGAAACAATCCACTATTTCTAGAAGTTCAGCTGAAGCTGAATATTGCAGCCTAGCATCCATTGTTGCGGAGATTGTCTGGATTCTTGGTTTACTCAAGGAGCTGGGAGTGCAACATGATTCTTCTGTGCCTATCTACAGTGATAGTAAATCAACTCTTGCTATTGCTGCCAATCCTGTCTTTCGCGAACGAACAAAGCATATTGATATTGATTGCCATTTCATCCGTGAAAAGATTCAACAAGGCTTGGTTTCAACTCTCTATTGTCCTACGGCAGAGCAAGAAGCTGATATACTTACAAAAGGACTNAGGGGGAGGTGTAAAGGATGTAGGTTAACCATAGTTGCTTAATTATAGTTAGCTAAGTTAACTATACTTAGCGTATTAGTTAGTGTGTTAGTTAGTGGATTACAACTGTCATTAGGTGGTTAGTGAGTTAGTTAAAACACTGTAGATGCTTCTTCTTATTTACGCTGTATAGCAATAAACAAAGCTTTGTTCCGATTCTTCATCTTTAATTTCTTCTTCTTAGCTTTGAATGATTGATAAATTCTTCAAAAACTAACTTGACTGTATTGTTCAATTGATCACAAGTTTAGTCGGATTAGCAATACTTGGTAGTGCAAAACTTGTGAACAATTGATTAACCAAAAAACAATTTCTATCCGGTTGAACTTGAGAACACTTTTTGCAAAAATTATGTCTAGTGATTAAGGGAAGTGAAATTTTGTTTGTCCTACAATAATTGCGAACAATTTATATAAAGTAATGACTCATATGATATAATTTGTGAACAAGACAAATTTTACAAATCTAGTTAGACTTGTGTATTAAAATTAAGATCCAAGACTATTTCTTTAAAAATTTCTTAACCAGGTGCAAGAATTGAACTCCAACGTAGAAGTAATCAATTTCTGCAAATCTCCCTGCAAATAAATGGCGGGAAACGTAAAGAAAGCCCATTATTGCCAAAACTAACGCGCGTTATTCTTGGAGCGAGCAAGGATTTGAAACTTATCTTTTTTCCTATTGCTTTCCCTTTTTCTTTTCCACTTTTCCCTTTTAATTTTATCGAGAAATAAAAGGGCAATCAGCCCCATTTCTTTTTGTCATTCTTTACTCTTTTTAAGTCTTTATTTTTGGAGACTAGTTACGACTGTCCCTGCCACCCTTTGGTTCTTCCAAATCTGTC